GCTGAGCAGGGAACCCGATGCGGGACTCAATCCCGGGACTCCAGGATCATGACCTGAGCCGAAGGCAGTCGCCCAACCAACTGAGCCACCCAGGCGCCCCCCCATTAGCATTTTAAAAAATAAGGTATAGGGGCACCTGGGTGGCTCTTTTGGTTAAGTGTCTGGCCCTTGATCTCAGCTCAGGTCTTGATCTGAGGGTCGTGAGTTCAGGCCTTGCAGTGGGCTCCACGCTGGGTGTGGAGCCTACTTTAAAAAATAATAAAATTACGTATATTTTGAGTAAAGATAATCCTGAATATAGTTGATTTTTCTGGCGTAATTGTCTTTCAATTAAACTTTGCAGGCTATGGATCATCTTCAGTCATTCATTGCAGATTGTGATCGAAGAACAGAAGTGGCTAAGAAAAGATTAGCAGAAACTCAAGAAGAGATTAGTGCTGAAGTGGCGGCAAAGGTAAGAATTTCAATTATTTCATTAGTACTACAAAATACCATTTCAGTTCACTAATTTTAACTTTTTATTTTGAAATAATTACATCCACGGATTGCAAAGACTTAAATAGGGAATTCTCTGAACTCTTCCTCTAGCCTTCCCTAATCACATTTTATACAACTATAGTACACTGTCAAAGCCAAGAATTGATACTGGTCCAATCTTGACATTTTACTCAGATTTTACCAGTTATGTGCGCACTTGTGTGTATGTAGCTGTGTGCAGTTTTATCACACGTGTAAGTAACTTGGGTACCTGCCACCATAATTAAGTTACTTCACTGTAGCATCATCATGAGCCTCGCTCATCTTACCTCTCTGTAGCCGCATCTGTTCCCCTCTCCCCTGTTTTCTGGCAACCAATGTATTCTCCAGCTCTATAATTATGTTATTTTACTGAATATTACATAAACAGAATCATGTAACCTTTTGAGATTGGTTCTTTTCACTCAGCACAGGTTCCGTGATTCATACAAGTTGTTGCGTATATCAGTAGTTCATTTCTTTTTGAGTAGTATTCCATGGTATGGATATACCACAGTTTAACCACACATTGAAAGATATTTGGATTGTTTGCAGTTACTGGTTAACACCCGTAAAACTGCAATAAACATTTCATTGCTCTGGGATAAATACCCAAGAATGCAATTTCTGGGTAATGTGGTCATATGGTAACTCCATTTTTAGTTTTGAAAGCAGGTGTCAAAACTGTTTTCTAGAGCGGCTGTACCAGTTTACACTTCTACCAGCAATGTGTTAGTGATTTGGTTTCTTCACATCTGTGCCAACATTTGGTGGTGTCACTAATTTTCATTTTAGCCATTCTTAGACGTGTGTAGTGATATTTCTTGGTTTTAGTTTGCATTTCCCTAATGCCTAATGATGCTGAACATTTTTTTCATGTGTTTATTTGCCATTTATGTACCTCTTTAGTGAATTGTCTGTCTTAAACCCATTTTCCAAATGGACTGCTCATTTTTTTTAATGTTGAGTTTTGAGTGTTCTTTAGATGTTCTGTTTTACCCCCTATTTTTAAAAAATACTTTGTTGTAGGAGCACCTGGGTGGCCCAAGTCAGTTAAGCATCCAACTCTTGATCTCTCAGCTCAGGTCTGATCTCAGGGTCCTGAGTTCAAGCCCCGCGTTGGGCTCCATGCTGGGTGTGGAGCGTACATTATTATTTTTTTTTTTAATGTGAACTTACATGCAAAAAGCGGAAAAAGGGGTGCCTGGCTGGCTCAGTCAGTAGAGCATGTGACTCTTGATCTCTGGGTTGTGAGTTCGAGCCCCACATTGGGTGTAGAGATTACTTATTAAATAAATAAACTTTAAAAATACAAATAAAACCAAGAAAGAAAAGTACAATAAATCCCAATGGATTCATAGTTTTTTGCTCTTGTTTCATTGTTTTATTTATTTAAAGATTTTATTTATTAGAGAGAGAGAAATGGAGCAGGGGAAGGGGCAGAGGGAGAGGGAGAAGCAGACTCCCCACTGAGCAAGGAGCCCAACATGGGGCTGGATCCCAGGACCCTGAGATCATGACCTGAGCCGAAGGCAGACACTTAACCAGCTGAGCCACCCAGGCGCCCCCGTTTCATTATTTTAAAAGCAAATTCCAGATGTCACATCGTTTCATCTCTAAAACATAACCATAAAAATCACATCCATAAAGTTAACAGTTTTTTAATATTATCTAATATCCTGAATGTGTTCATTTTTCCTATATAGAGTTGGTTTGTTCTAATCAGAATCTTAAAATTAAAGTCCATATAGTGCATTTTGTTGATTTGATGACAATACTTTGAAACATTTTGTGCCGTTCAGTATAGTTTGTACATTTTATGAAAATGGCAGAATGGAGACAGTTTACCCAGATGGAGTTTGGATGACAGCATTAAATACAGTTCTCAGAGATGGATGTACAGAGGGAAATGGATTTCTTTGTTTGAGAAAAGGTTTTTTTGTTTTTTGTTTAAGTAATCTCTACACACAATGTGGGGCTCGAACTCACAGCCCGGAGATCAAGAGTTGCATGCTCTACTGACTGAGCCAGCCAGGTGCCCTGAGGAAACGGTTATTTTTAGGATATGTGCTGCTGAAGCGAGCACGGAAACGGTTATTTTTAATCAACTTTTTCTGAAATATTCTCTAAAGATGGGATCCTAAAGTGCAGGGATCTAATGTTATGGTTGGAAAAGATCCACAAGTGCTATCTTGGTTTATATGGCATTTTATTGGTTATCTATCACTGTAAAAATGCTGTTTAACAAATTATCTCAAAACTCAGTGACTTAAAACAGTATTTTAGCCCATGAGGCTTTAGTTAATGATTAGGCTGAAGTTGACTGGGAAGTTATTCCTGTCTCAGCTGGGCTCACTCACATGTCTTCTGGTCAGTCAGAGGCTGTTGAACCCAATTTAGTCTGGCTGTGTTCTTAGGGTAGTGAAAGAGGTACAAAAAATGTCATACAAGTGCTTTTCAAGCCTTCCCTTCTGTCATGTTTGCTGCTGTCCTATTAACTAAAGCCAGTTACATGGTCAAATTCAGAATCAATATGATGGTACTAATTATATAGCAAAGAGTTGGATACAGTGAAAGGTGAAGAGTTTAAGGCATAATCCAATCATTCTGTGACAGATATTGAAAAAAAACTACCACTTTGTTAAAGAGGTAAGAAAATGATAATAGAATTGAAAATTTCTTTGAGGGATGAATATTTTTGATTGAAGGATATTTGAGAGGTAAAGGTTATTGGCACACCAGTTTGTTGGGACTGGATGTCCATAACAAATTAAAATCTTCTTTGCTAATATAATTGGCCACACAGCCTGAATACTTTGTAGCCAATATAAAGACTGTATAGGTATCCTATGCCATTAAAACAATAGGACTGAGCTATATTCTCAGGATGACAGTGATGAAGAGGAGGAGGACAACACAGATTCCCAAGGCAAGAATTTATCCCAGGGGAAAGACATGAACTAAGCCTAAGGGACACAGAGTGTTACGGTAGTATACTGAAAATCAGTAATGTGCTGTGCAGTATATGTGCAAGGCACATTTTCTCATTTCTCACAACTTTATGAGATAGGTATTATTCCCACTTTGGTGAGGAAGTGGATTCAGGTTAAGTAATGTCAGAATTACATAGCTGGTAATTGGTTTGGCAATAAGCCAGACCTTTTGGACTCTAAAGTCATATATTTACCTTAAAGAGTATCTGCCAGTTCATTTCTTTTTCTTTTCTTTTCTTTTTTTTTTTTTAGATTTATTTTATTTATTTTGAGAGAGAGAGTGCACAAGAGGGGGTAGGGTCAGAGGGAAAAGCAGACTCCCTGCTGAGCAGGGAGCCCGATGTGGGACTTGATCCCAAGACTCCAGGATCATGACCTGAGCCGAAGGCAGTTGCTTAACCAACTGAGCCACCCAGGCGCCGTACCAGTTCATTTCTTTAACTCCTGTTTGAGCCTGTGCTATTTGTTGGGCATTGGAAATACACAGATGGGAAATATAAATAGCTTTCTTTAAGGTGGTGTGATATGTATATAAGAGTATATACATAAGTATATGTATGTACAAAATTATATGCATAAAAGTATGATATGTACATAAGAGCGTCATGGAAGATAAAAAGATGGCACAAAGGAGGGTTTGGCTCTCTGTGCTTATGTTTAAGTGGGGGTGAGATGTGATTGATCAAGAATATTTCACAGAACAGTTGAATCTTGAATGAATCGACATATATGAGTTCGGACAAGGGGAGGTAAGGGATGATGTCTGAGGAAGAGGGATGACATCCTTCTGCAAAGTCACAGAGGCAGAAAACGAGTAAATTTGGGAAACTAGATAAACTATAGCTGGTGTGAAGTGGGGGAACAGCAAGAGATGGTTTGGAAAGGTACATAGGGGCAGATTGTGGTAAACGGTATTTTATACTTGGAATACACTGCTAAAGCAGAGGGTGTAAAGTAATAGTTAAATTGAGATCAGTTGTATTCCTGACCTAACTGCAGTGAGGGCAGGTAGGCTCAAAACATCCTCATATCCCACCAGTTCATTTATGATAGCTCAGAAAGCATTATTTATACTCATACTGCCTTAGATAAGTCTTTTCTGAGCATTTATGAAATATTTTGAACTGATAATTTATTCTGCTTTTTATTCATGATCTTCTTTTCTGTTTCTTTCTAGGCAGAACGTGTTCACGAGTTAAATGAAGAAATTGGTAAGTTGTTGGCCAAGGTGGAACAACTGGGAGCTGAAGGAAATGTGGAAGAATCCCAGAAAGTAATGGATGAAGTAGAGAAAGCACGGGCAAAGAAAAGAGAAGCAGAGGTAATACAATTTTTAATGGTAATATGTACAGTACAGCCTTACTGTCAAAACATATCTGATTGGGAATTATTGAAAGTTATTGCTAGTACAGGCAGTTTAAACCATTTAAAAAATTTAGTTAGTCCATGTCATAGTAATGGATTATGTATCAAAGTTGTGGGTGATTTTGTTATTACTTTAGAGGGTTTGATCTGTTGAAATTTATAACTAGAAAATGAAATTGAACTAGCTAGTCATACACAGCAGTCACATACAGAATGCATAAATGCAGTTCCTACGACACCCTCCCTCCCTCGACTTTACCACCATGTAACCATAGCATTGTCCCTTCTCTTCCCATCTCAGTACAATCTGCTGGTACTTGGGGAGCCGCCGCCTCTCATTCCTTCTCCATAGCACAGGTCAAAATCTCATATCCTGCAAAGTTCTGTTTTGTTTCCCACTTCATGTTTTTTTAGAAAACTGGGGTTTATCCACAGGGGGTAGTATTCTTCCATTTTGCCATCGTCCCCATTGCTCTTTTAACACACCTCAGTTTAATTTGTTCTTATTCTGCCCTTTTAAAATGGAAGCCTAGATAATTGATTTTAGCCCATTTGATGCTACAGATTTTCTTCTAGGCACAACTGTAGCTGCATCCCACAGAATTTCATATATTGTTTTTATTTTCATTCATTTCAAATATTTGCTAATATTGCTTGTGATTTCTTCTTTGACCTATGGGTTATCTAGGAGTGTGTTTTTGTATATTTGTTGTTTTTCCAAATATTTTTGTTTTTAATTTAGTTCTGTTGTAGTGAGAGAACATTCGTGTGATTTCAGGTCTCTTAGATATATCAGTACTTATTTTGTGCCCTGAATGTGGTCTTGGTGAATGTTCCATCTATATTTGAAAAGAATGATACTCTGCCTTATTAAATGGAGTGTTCGAATTGAGTCAAGATAGTTGATTGATTATTAAAGTCTTCCATATCCTATTGATTTTCTATTCTATTTACTGAGAGGAGTATTAAAGTCTCCATCTCTAATTGTGGTAGACTTAAACCCAATGTACTAGTAATTACGTTAAATGTAAATGGTCTAAACATTCCAATTAAAAGGCAGAGATTGTGAAACTAGTTTTTTGTTGTTTTTTTTAAGCAAGACTTAGTTGCACCTGAGTGACTCAGTCTGTTAAGCGCTTTCTCCTCAGGTCTTAAAATAAAAGCAAGACTTAACTATGTGCTAGCTACAAGAAATCTTTAAATATAAAGATAGATTAAAGGTAATAGGATGGGAAAAGATAAACCACGTAGCCATTCTTGTTAATTTTAAAGTCTTAAAATACTCAGGATTTCTTTAAATGTAATTAATATCATTCCAGAAAATAAACACTATGAATTTTTTGTTTAACTTTTTTTAAGATTTTATTTATTTGAGAGAGAGAAGACACTGGAGAGAGCAAGCATGAGTAGGGAGCAAAGGGAGAGGGAGAAGCAGGCTCCTTGCCGAGTAGGGAGCCCAATATGGGCTCGATCCTGGGATCATGACCTGAGCCGGAGGCAGATACTTAACCAACTAAGCCATCCAGGTGCCCCTAAACACTATGAATTTTAAAATGCAGAATATTTTATAGCTCATTTCCCCAAAAGACTCAAGTAATGAACCTTAGTAAGCATTATTATTTGCCTATTTTGAAGTTTTCATGAGATTTCATATATATATGTATTTGAAGATTTTCTAGTAGCACACAGTGGCTTAACATCTTTAGCATGTTATGTTTTATTATCAGTTGATTTTTACTAGGGACAGGGCATTAAAAAATTTTCTTGCTCATTATAGATTGTGTTCAGCTGCACATAGTAGAAAACTTATAATGGCTTAACCAAGGAAGGGTTTTGTTTTTCTCATTTATTAAATAATCGCGATTAGGGAGTCTGGGGCTGGTACAGCAGCCTCCTTGATTCCATCAAGCACACAGGCTATTTCTGGCTTTATGTTCAGCCATCCTTACTACATGGATTCATCTTTATGCTTATCAATTTGTGTTGGCAGTATGGCTACCATGCCTGAAGCCTTTTCTCTCTACATAACTAGAAAGAGGAAGAAGAGTAACAAGGCACAAAAATTGAGTTGACTTGCCTCCTAGTGTCATGTCTTTTTCTTTTTTTTTTAAGATTTTATTTATTTGAGAGAGAGCTCACGAGAGAGCATGAGCTGGGGTGGGGGGGTGGGCAGAGGGAGTGGGAGAAGCAGAAGCAGATTCCTCGTTGAGTAGGGAGCCAGTGAGGCTGATCCCAGGACACTATGTTCATGACCTGAGCCAAAGGCAGATGCTTAACCGACTGAGCCACCCAGATCCCGTTTCTCTTTTTTAAAAACTTTTATTTTGAAATATCTTCAGAAAAGTTTAAGAAATAGTATAAGGATAGTATAAGGAATTCCCCTATATCCCCTATATGCTTCACCCAAATGTTAACATTTTATCATATTTGCTTTGTCTTTCTCCTCGTGTGTGTGTGTGTGTGTGTGTGTGTGTGTTTGAACTGTTTGGCATTAAGTTATAGATATGATGTCTCTTTATTCCCAAATAGTCCAGTGTGTATTTTCTAAAGACAAGGATATTCTATTACATAACTGCAGTAGAATGATCTGAATCAGAAATTAACACTGATACAGTACTGTTAATGAATCTGAAGACTTTATGCAGATTTCCAATTACCACAGTAATGTTCATTTTTACTAAAAAATTTTTGTTCTTTGTTTAAGACCCAGTTCAGGATCATGTGCTGCATTTAGCTTTTAATGTCCCTCTAGGCTTCTTTAATCTGGAACTTCAGTCTTTGACATGATCTTGACAGTTTTGAAGAGTATAGGCTAGTTATTTTGTAAAATGTCCTTCAGTTTGGGTTTGTCTGATTTTTCTTCCTGGTTAGATTTTTGACAGTACCATTGAAGTAATGTTATATCTGCTCCGAAGTCACACGTTAGTGATTTGTCCCATTTCTGGTGATTGGCCTATTTTTCCACTATGAAGTTACAGTACTTTCTTTTTGTAATAAGTATCTTGGTATTGACATTTTTGAAACTGTAAATATTGTTTCCCATCACTTTCTGGTCCACAGGTGATAGCAGCTATTGTTTTTGTTGTTGTTGTTTTTTTTGGTCTCAGTCTATTGACTCCATTTGAAAGGACTTTTCTATGGATTCCATCCAACAATATCCACTTGAGTATCTCCCTAGCCAAAGCTCTGTGGAGGCTTGGGAATGTAATGTCTTCTAGCTGGACATGCTGCTGGCCTCAAAAGGAAAAAAAAAGGATACACAAATCCACTAATACTTACTATTTCATTAATGAACTTAAAATGGTTGCATGTAAGACTTTTTTTTTTATCTCATTAAGGCACCTTTCATTGCTTGTGTTATAGAACTATTCCTCTTCGTGGAAAGTCTTTTTTTTTTTTTTTTTGACCGAGAGAGAGAGAGAGAGCGAGAAAGGGAACACAAGCAGGGGGAGTGGGAGAGGGAGAAGCAGGCTTCCCGCGGAGCAGGGAGCCTGATGTGGGGCGTGGGGCTCGATCCCAGGACCCTGGGATCATGACCTGAGTCGAAGGCAGACGCTTAACGCCTGAGCCACTCAGGTGCCCCTATCATGGTAGAATTCTTATAGTAGTTCTTGGCAAAGTGCCGTTGAGTCTCTGATCAACTGCCTCCAGTGAAAGAGATCCCAAGGACAGAGGATGGGAATAGAGGAACCCATCGTTTTTGTGACAAAAATAGCCATACTTTTGTTATTCGTTAGAAAACATTTTTTTGTATAAACATAATGTATTTTGTGTAATGGTATGGACTCAGGTTTATATGAACATTGTTTTTCTCACTTTTGTTTAGGAAGTTTATCGGAATTCTATGCCAGCTTCCAGTTTCCAACAGCAGAAACTTCGAGTCTGTGAAGTCTGCTCTGCCTATTTAGGTCTTCATGATAATGATAGACGACTGGCTGATCATTTTGGGGGTAAACTGCACCTGGGATTTATTGAAATAAGAGAGAAGCTTGAAGAATTAAAGGTACATTGGTAAATTAATGTCATATGCTTTATCATTTAGCCATCCATTGTTTTGATGTGTATTAGTTATCTTTTTGTATAAGGTTCTTGACTATGAGTCTGCTAACAACTCATACCGAATAGTGTAAGATTATAAATGGAGATAACAACTGGTTTAATGGATGATATCTGAGAAACAGACTTTTAAATAATGTCCCCTTATTCTGGGAGGTAATATTTTGTGTAAATATGACATTGAATTAGGAGTCTGGCAAACTGGGTTCTAAACTAATTCTTTCGTGTAAATTCCCCCCAAATTTTTATTTTCTTTGAAATAAAATTAACAATATAACATTAGTATAATATTTACTTTAAAGGAAGATTGAGAAAACGAGACTAGTATTTATTTGAAATATTTTGCAGTTCTTCACTAAATAGCAAGCTTGTAGGACCTCTAGTTTTACTTTATGCTCCTGCTCCCATTTCAGCAAGGAATTAGAATGAAACCTATCTTTAAAAAAAGGAGAGTTACTGTCACGTATATGGCTATTGTGAGAAGGGCAATACAGTTCTTACTCATGTGCAGAATTCTTTTGAGAAGATATGGAAACAACACAGGGTATTTCTAAAGATGTAAGCAAAATCAGAGTAAATGGATATAATCAATTTACTTTCCAACAATCTGATGTGGCTAGTTTTTTAAAAATTGTGGCACTGTAGCATTTTGTCATGAATGGAAGAATGGCTCAAGGATGGCAAACACTGGATAGTGAAATTAACCCAGGATCTGTAGTTTGACCTTTAAAATAATGAGTCAGATACACTTAGGGACATAACCATATTTGTAATTAACAGTGAGCTCTTCTAAGTATTCTGAGTAGCTGGGATGATTTTTGCTAAGTTTTTATTTAAAATGACAAAAGTAAGTTTCACCATTATCAAATGGTTACTAGGCTCTGAATTAAAACTCAAAAATAGTACCTATTTGGGAATCTTTGCAGTTAATAGACCTAGCAACAGGACTGTTTAGCGTCTTACTGGTATTTTTTGAAGCAACAGAATTGGGATGGGAATTGGAAATGACAGAAGACATTTTTATTTTGGAAATGAGAGAATAGGAACTTGTAGTGATTTATAATGCTTAGTGTCCTTTAAAAAATTATAAAATATGTGCACCTTCCTGGCTCAGTTGGTAGAGCATGTGCCTCTTGATCTCAGGGTCGTGAGTTGGAGCCCCACATTGGGTGTAGAGATTACTAAAAAAATAAACTTGAAAAAATACAAAATAATGTCAGAAAACATTCATAGGAGAAAATGATTTTGAAATATTAAGTCATGAAGAAATAGAAAATTCTACAAATGTTCCCCAGAAGGGGGGAAAGATTTTGGAAACTAGATTTGTAAGCTTAATGATTTTTACCCAGCAAAACTTTTAATTGTTATTAAACAGATTTTGATATTACTTATACTGTATCAGGAACCAGATACAGTAGAGTTTAGGGTAATTCTTGTTAAGAATGAACCCAATAAGTAATGCTCCTCATTTTTTATTATTTGACCTGTCATTGTCTTTTAAGAGAGTTGTAGCTGAGAAACAGGAGAAAAGAAATCAGGAACGCCTGAAACGAAGAGAAGAAAGGGAGAGAGAAGAAAGAGAGAAGCTGAGGAGGTATGGAGTGATTAATTGAATAGTCCAAGTATGTGAAGTTGAAGTTCCCTGGCTCTAAAAAGAGGTGTGATTGATATAGGATATTAGATGTTAAAAATAAATCTAGACATGGGAGATTTTTGTTTACTTTTGAAAATATTACCATGTGAAAGTGTTTATACAAATATGTTATGGCCATCTAAGTCAAGGTGATTTCCTTCAAAATGTGTGGGAGGGTAAATAGTCACATCCTTATTTTTTGTAAGATTGACTACAAAGCTTTTCTAGCCCTCTGATTTTCATAATGGCTAGATTTGTACCAGATTGGTATCAAACTATTTTCATTTTTGTGATATACTTTATTCTTGACAAAGGTTTGAGTTTTGGGGTACCTGGCTGGTTTAGTTGGTAGAGCATATGGCTCTTAATCTCAAGGCTGTGGGTTGGATCCCCACATTGGGTGTAAAGATGATTTAAAAATAAGATCTTAAAAAAAATTATTTTACATCATACTTGGATTCTGTAATTCCTCAATTCTAGGAGCTATAAACTATTAAAATTGTATAAATAATAGCCAAATGTATGCAGTTCTTTTTATATTGGTATTAATTCGTTCATAAAACCATATTCTTCGTATTTAGAATGGTTAAATGTTCTGAGTGACTTTTACCCATTGGCAACAAATTGTGTGGCATCATGGTGGCAATCTTCTTTGAATTCATGTACATAACTTTTTTAATAACCTTACAGTGGACAGTTATGCCACAAAAGAATTACCTGCAGTTCTAATTTATGGGGTTCCCTTAATTGTATTGCACATCTCTGAAACTTAAATACTCTATCTCCAGCAGATATTGTGCCTAATTAAAACCCTTTATAATATATGACTTGATCATGCCGGCTTTCCCCAAGCTTTGAGCATGTTATATTTGTTTATTTCAAGATGTTTAAACTAACTTTGTGTTACATGGCTTATAGCAGGTAATATTTTTGCACTGTAATGAAAAAATGAAACATAAGTACATGTGGATATTTTGCCTTTTTAGGGGAAATGCTGTCATACATCGATTGATAAATATGTTCTTCATTTACCATAATTTTTTATCTCATAGCTTTATTCTCTTTTGTGTACACTGAGTTTCTATGGGAATAGTGCTCAGCATTTTGATATAAGACCATATAAGTGGCATTAGAAATCTCAGTTTGTTAAAATTCTGTATGTAGTGCCACTGATTTATATGATTCAACTGAAATGATAGTTGAATGAGAAAGAAAAATTCTTTGCCATGACTACATTTTCACGTCTATAGATGACAAAGTATATCACATCTTACTCCTTTATTGCCAGCTGACCGATTTCTTTTAACATTGATTATAAAATGTAATGCTATTTCAGAAAGGTGTTCAAATTTTTTTTAAATCTGTAAACTTGAGGAAATACTATAACCAAGAATGAAAAATGAAGAAATCATAATCAAGTACAGAGTTAAGCAAGGTGGGATTCCAACTATGGTATTGAAAAGGATAATGATAAAAATCACTGCCACTTACTAAGTGCCTATTTATCAGGCACGGTGCTAAGAATTTACCTACAGTAGTTCATCTAATCCTTATAATCCTCCTGTGAAATTTCTATTATTGTCCTTCTTTTGCAAATGACAAGCAAAGCTTAGAGAAGGTTTATAATCTGTCCAGGTGACAGATAATGGTGCAGCCAGGGTTTTAAAACGTAAATCAGGCTGAGTTAAAAGCCATCCTTCAGTTGTGCTATGTATTCCCCACAAAAGACACCTGTGGTTTTCTAGTACCCATAATATTAGCCATTACTGTTGAGTGTTAATTGTGTCCTAGGGAATCGTGTGTCTTTTTAAGAAACAGATGTTGTAAGATTGAATTGGGTGTTCTAGGGATTATACTCTGAGGTTGCAGTTTGAAAGTGAATACATCTCAGATTATAGAAAATTTTCTCTGTTCCCAGAGGGAAAGAAGAAATTACAGAGATATAAATAACAAAGACTTTTTCCCAGGTTGGGAATTGATTTCTGGAGAATTAGTGAGTGGTGATGTAGCATGTTATAGTCTCCTAGGAGCATATTCTTCTTAAGAGCCAGGTATCCTAGTTAGGGGATCTCATATGCCAAGGTGGGAAAGTCTGTATAGTTTATGGTGTATTTTGGAAAAATTTGTGTGCATTCATACATGCCTTATATTTATAGAATTAATAAAAAGATTAGGAATCAGGAAGAGTGTAATTTTAACAGTACATTGTACTTTTTCTCACTTTTTTTCTAAAAATAGATATTCTTTTTTTAGGTCTCGATCACATAGCAAGAATCCCAAAAGGTAAGCATATGCAAAATATGTATAATTAGTGAAATTCTTTTTTTTCAGAGGTAGTTTTTATAGATTAAATACCTTTGAAAATGAATGAGAATTACTAAGTTAGTACTCTTAATTCTTTTGTAGTTCAAGTTCGGGCATTGTGTTTTAAGATGAAACTGGTTAGAAGGTACTCGTGAACTATAACTATTTTATCAGTGTGGTGTTAAAAGTAAAGCTAAAAATACTGGGGTGCCTGGTTGGCTCAGTTTGTGGAGCATGTGACTTCTTGATCTTGGGGTTGTGAGTTCAAGCCCCACATTGGGAATAAAGCCTACTGAAAAAAATAAGGAAAGCTTAAGAATATTTTAGAATATTTCTTTAAAATCTTTAGAAGCGCAGGTAAAACACGTGACAGAATTTATTTTTAAAATCATTTTGGGTGGTACATGTCAAACGCAAGTCTAAGAGGTTATACCTGTTGAAAATATAAGTAGGTTAAGTAGTTGAATACATTTTTTTAAAGATTTTATTTGAGAGAGAGAGCGGGCATTGGGTTGTTGGGCAAAGGGCAGAGGGAGAGGGAGAAGCAGACTCCCCACTGTGCAGGGAGCGCGATGAGGGGCTTGATCCCAGGACCCTGGGATCACGACCTGAGCCAAAGGCAGACACTTAACCAACTGAGCCACCCAGGCAGCCCTACTTGAATATATTTTTGAAAGAAGGATCCATAGTGGGTTATTGAAGAGAAACTAAAATGCTTATTAGTTTACACCCTGATCTTCACTTTATATGAGTTTATTATCCCTTTGTATATTGATGACAAAACTCTAAAATTTTGACTTTCGGCATAAAAATTTGAGGGCTTTTTGAAGACTTTCTTTATAGTTTTTACTAGTTGCTGGTAACTTTTTTCTAACTGAGAAAGGTGGGGAAACATGGTGTATGTCATCATTTTTAATACTCCATGAGTCCATCCCCACCTAGAATGCCCTTTCTTATTGTCAAGTCCTACCATTTTTCTTGTTCAGATCACATCTTTTTGAAACCTTCCAGGTACTCTTATCTCTAAAGAGTAATTATTTCTCGAGAACTTTTCCCTATAAACTAGAGCATTTGTTGTTATAAAAGAATAACCTGTCCAGTTGTGTCAGCCAATTTATATTATTGTTTCTGATATCTAGGATGAGAAATAGAAACATTGGGGTACCTGGGTGGCTCAGTCCTTAAGCGTCTGCCTTTGGCTCAGGTCATAATCCCAGGGTCCTGGGATTGAGCCCCACATCAGGCTCCCTGCTCTGCGGGAAGCCTGTTTCTCCCTCTCCCACTCACCCTGCTTGTGTTCCCTCTCTCACTGTCTCTCTCTCTGTCAAATAGATAAATAAAATCTTTTAAAAAAAAAATAGAAACATTAATTGGTGATACTATTCTTCTTCACCAGTTGATTAATGCAAATTAGTCCCTTTGTTGAATAGATACTTAAACTGTGTACATAGAACATCCTCAGATATTGAGGCCAGAAATTTAATTTCTCCTGTTCTGTTCCCAGCTAGTTGCCTCATGATTACAATAGCCTCTTGACTGGTCTCTTAATTTCTGTACTTGCCCAATTCTCTTCTCCACCTCAGTTTTTCACACATCAGCCAGAATGAGCCCTTTAAAAAGTGAAACAAATTACATCAGCCCTCTTTTCAAACTCTCCAAAGGTTCCATTTCACTTAGGAGAAGTGGAAATCCTCGCCATAGCTTTTCAGATAGAGTGATTGATCTGAGAGTGGGGTAGGAACTAGTTTATGTCTTGTGTCAGCATATTTATTAATAACTTCCCCTTGCTCTTTATATAATTTATCATTGAGAGCATCCTGGTTTGAATTATGAGGTACTGGGTCATCCTGCTTGTAGGTAAGACCCCTGAATTATTCCCCTTGCTCACTTCATTCCAGCTGAACAGGTATCTTTTAGTACTTCAACATTCTGAACTTTCTTCTATCACAGGGCCTTTACACCTGTGTTCCCCCTACCTGAAGCACCCTAGTTTGAGATGGCTGATTAGCTGGTTACCTTATTTCATCTTTGCTTAGATGCCGTTTTACCAGAAAAGCCTTTTCTATCTATCCTTTATAAAAGATGACCACCTCATTTCTGTCCATCTTTACCTCCTTAATATATCATTTCTTTACTAGCTGACGTATCTTTGTTGACTGTTAACATATCTGTGTGGACTTCTTTCTGGAGCATAACCTCCATGAGGTGTTAAGGACTTTGCTTTATTTGCTGCTCAGTCTTTTTCTAGTACCTAGAACAGTGCAGTGTGCACCCAGTAAATACTTAAAAAAATTTTTTTTTGGATTTTATTTGAGAGAAGGCGAGCGAGCGAGAGAGCACGAGTGGGAGGAGGGGCAGAGGCAGAGGGAGAAGCAGACTCCCCGCCGAGCAGGGAGCCCGATGCGGGGCTGGATCCCAGGACCCCGGGATCAGGACCTGAGCCGAAGGCAGATGCCCAATGACTGAGCCACCCAGGCGCCCTAAATACTTTTTAAATGAATAATTGTCTAGAATTTTTTAAAAGATGAATGAAATTATGCATTGAAAGACACAGATTCATTGTAATAGCTCAGAATGAGTGACTAAACAAGATACCATTTAATAAAACTTGGATTGAATGAATTTTATGTTCTTTTCCCTATGCTCCTTTTCAGAGATAGTTTATTGTTGAAGTACTCAACTGTGGTTGATGCTGGGTCCACTATATATGTCTTTCTTTGAATATAATGTTGACATAAGCTGAATGCTTTTAAACTTCATTTAACAAAATCATCACTTGAAAGTGAGCTGTTTGTAAATTGTATCACCTGAATATGCTTTGTGAATTTATCAAATTATGAGAAAACATCACATTCTTAAAGTGACTCAGTTTTTTAACAGCTTTATTGGGGTATAATTTACATACCATAAGTTCACCCATTTAAACTGTACAGGTCAATCATTTTTTAGTGAATTCAGAGTTGTGGAACTGTCAAAGTCAAGTTTAGATAGTTGCCATTACTCTTAAAATGACCTTTAGAAGAAAGTTGCATATCTTTTTTCCTGCTTGTTTTCTCTCAAATGTTTTATGTCCTCTGCATGTGCCATTTCAACCCTCAGCCCACACATAACGTTGATAGTTTTGTGACGCAGCGGAGGCTACACAAGTGTTTGTCTTCTGGCTTCTTCAAAACATTTTTCCTTTTCTCTAAACTGTTCTCTGCTCATATTTCTTTCAATCCCGATAAAGTTCTCTAAACTGATTGATGTATGTTAGTTTTTTCTCCCAAATTAAGTACTGCTTTAATAGAGGGCATTTAGACTTATTTTGATGGTCCTGTCACCTTTTTAATTCAGAGTTAGTGACTTATAAACAGTAGTCTTTCTCCTGCCTCTTCTCACTTTTATCCATATCCATCAAGTACATACTTTGTTTCTAAAGTATACCAGAAATCTTAGAAGTTTAAATGAAATACAAATCCGTAAATCATCTAGAGAATACAGTCCAATCCTTAGCATGTAGTAGTGTTATGGATTGTCTTTTTATATTTTTTGATGTAAATCTGATTGAGCTCTGAGACTAGTGTTTCATTTGTATTTTGAAATTCTAGTATGTACTTAATATGCCACTATTTTATTTTGGTGTAGATGTAGCTGACTTGAAATAGAACTGGCATTAAGTCACGTTACTGAGATATCATTTGTCTTAAGAGGCTTTAGCAAAGAAGAAATGCATTGCTGAGAAAGCTAAAAGCTAAAGCCCATGTTTTTTGTAGGTCCAGGTCCAGAGAGCATCGCAGACATCGGTCTCGCTCTATGTCACGGGAACGGAAGAGGAGGACTCGATCCAAATCTCGGGAGAAACGCCATCGCCACCGATCCCGCTCGAGCAGCCGCAGCCGCAGTCGCAGCCACCAGCGCAGCGGGCACAGCTCCAGAGACAGGAGCAGAGAGCGATCCCGCAGGAGGTACTGAGGCGTCCGTAAGAGGAACGGAACTGCCTTTATGGTTTAGAGGTGGAATACTGTTGGTTTGAAACTTGGATCTGGTCACATGTACACGTTTGTGTGTGAGTGTATAACATTTTTTCCCCCCGATTCTATGGGTAGTTAAAGAATACACTTAGGAGCCAGAGTAAGAAATTGGAACCAATATGTGCTACAGAGGTTATTGCTCTTTCTCTTAGTGTATTTTGGAAAAAAAGTACTTTGTGGGCAATTTAGGTACCAACACTCAGTTTTTACAGTATGTACTGGTGGATTAGGGGTTCTGAGAAGCCCTTTCATTTAAAGAGTTTAGCTTTGTTTGACTTACTGTTTTCCAAACTTCTTTGAGCTGGTGCACTTTTTCAGAGCAGACACATTCTGGTATATTATTTTATCTGCACTGTAGGTATACATTGCTATAGACAGCTTGGTGGGGCCGATTCAGAATCTTGAGGTTAGACTTTCTTGGCATGAAAATTTGAAAGGTGCAAGGAGGGCAGATCTAGGGCGTGGTGCGTTGAAGGACCTGAATTATCTGTTCAGCACAAAGGATTAGAATGTGATAGAAAAGCTACATCACCAAGCTCCCAAAACTTCTCAGGTCATAAGATGGTCCTTAAGCCAGGTCATTTCTATGGAACATAGAAACCATGCTTACCATTGCTTTTTTTCATGACAACTCTTCTTAAGCATATATGTAATAAACCTTTTTTGAGTGCCTCGTACCTACTAGTCTTAAATTTTCTATCGATTACTCTCCATAAAGCCCATGATAGAATTCCCAGAAAGCTGATAATCTTTTGGCGGGGGTGGGGGAGAGGACAGAAGCCTTTCCTTGAAACCACTCACTCGAAGAGTTGGTGAATAGGCTTTCACTGAATATTTTCTTCTATTCTTGCCTTGTTCCAAGTAGGTCCTTTTCCCTCCCCGCCGCTTTACTGAGGTATAGTTGACAAAATTTTAAGATATTTGAGGTGTACTTTGTGGTGATTTGAGATATATATATATATATACACACACACACACACACACACACACATTATGAAAGAGTTCCCACCAGTGGTTAATTAACATCCTTCACCTCAGGTGTTTATCCTTTTTTTTTGAGGAGAACATTCACGTTCTACTCTTATTAGCAAACTAGTTCCAAGTAACTTTAATCAAAAAGAATTGTATACTTCTATACTAGGCCTAGTAAAAAAATAACCAAGAAGTATTCTGTAATTGAACAACTTTATTCAAGTTAGAGCACAAGACTAACATCTTTGATAATAAACAGACCCTTAAAGTGGTAAGGTGTACAGAGTAATATAGGAGTTTAGATGAGGGAAATACCATAGAAATTAAAAAAGGCTTCAGATAGCAGGTAAAACCAGGCAGTAAAAAGATATTCGAGGTGGAGTAAATATCACAGACCAGTGCAGAGAATGAACAAATTCCCCCTGAGATTTACCTGCGCTGTATGTTTTGAGAGTCACCCTACTGCTTGATGGAAGGTCTAGAGAGTTTGTTTCGTGAACTTGCCCCCAGGTCCTTGTTTCTGGTATCCTGGTATCTGTGAGCTCTCGAATGTCTTTATTAAATGGTGGTCGGGACGGAAGGGGGGAGGGGCATGTCCTCTCACCAGGGTTGTGGCATCGTAGTCCCAGTGGTTCCCGCATTTCTGAAGTTGTATAGGACATATTTCTACTATCCTACATGACACCCTTACTATTTTCAGCATGTTTATAAACAGGTTTATTTTTGTAAAACTATTAAAAGTTTTTGCCTTTCTCAAAAGCACTTCTAATCTTGACAACTTACTCTTTCAAAGCAGCCTTCTGTGTTTTTACCAAAAATAAGCAGCCAATTGCTATATATTTGAGTTTAAATTTCAAAGTAAAGGTCCTAGTTACAAGTCTTACGATTTGCTTTTTCCCTAACTGTGAAATACTGGTATATGATTCTGTTGGTGACATTTCCCTGGCAACAGTTATCTTAATAAATGAGGACTTAGCTGCATTTTTCTACTTCCTGGTCTGTTCAAACACCTAGTGCAGTCTTGAGAGTCAGACTACTTGGGTTCAGTGGCCTTGGCCAAGTAATCTCATTATTCTGTCTTCCCCCCATCTTCGAAGTACCTATGTTATTAGGATTAGTGGTAGTTTGAATGACATAGTGTAAGTAAACTGCTTATGGATGGGACGTTGTAATCCCTCACAAAATCGTAGTTGATGCTCATCTCATGGTTATTTTCCGGTTAGTACTGACCTCTGAGACTTACCTGCAACTGTGTCCTTAATTCTTAGGCATCATTTCTCTCCATATTCTAGTCTTAAAAAGATTGTGGAGAGGATTAGTGTAACCAGACATGCGCTGTGATTTTTTTTTTAACATCTTTTTAAAATCATGCTCATTAAAACCTTAAGGTAGAACATGCTCAAAGTTGACATTAATTTTTGAACCTTTTCGGTTGAATCCCCCTTATTTCTAAAACTGAGTATAGTATTTTTTTTTCCTGCCTTAGAAGTTCAAAGTATTACTTGACCCATGCTCAGAATTACGATCTGAGGCCTGGTTAAGTGGTGAGATTATATATAAAGTACCAGGTCTCTTGTAAAGTATCAAGTAAATGTAATACATATTACTGATTCATTCTAGATGTTGAAAGTATAGATTTTATATTCTGATCCCATAATATCCTTTGATTTTCCTTCTGATTGAATCTCTGCTAGCAGGTTATCACTTACCTTTCTTACTGAAACTGGGTATGGGAATGGAGAGATGGTATCAAGAAACCGTTATCGTTAATCAAGATATAGGGTGATCATCTTTCTGTGTCTTCCATTCTTATTTTTTTCTCTTGGTTGAATGAGCTTGCTCAGGAAGAGTAAAGAAGATTTCAAAAATAATAAATGGTTATTTAAAGCCATTTCATTGACTAATTCTCTTATCTAAATCAAGTTTTGGCAAACTGTTGCCTGCAGGCCAAATCTGGCCCCATAGCCTGTTCTTTGAATAGCTCGTGAGCTATGTGGTTTTTACATTGTTAAAGGGTTGATAAAAAAGAAAAGGAAGAAGAATACCCCCTTCAATATTTACACTCTGGCCAGACAGCAAAGAAAAAAAAAGGTTTGCTGACTCCCATTCTAAGTCCTTAATTTCCACCCAGTTTGGCACCTATACTGTTAACACTTCCACTTTTTTAAGGTATTGTCTATATTTTTATATTAAACACATTTGCCATGAATTAGAAAACCTTTATGATTACCTCTGAGATGATAACATCCTCCACTAAGTCATTATTGTAGCTTATGGTTTCTGGCCCTTAATTTGTTTTCACTCATCTCCCTTGTCAGATTGGGTAGTGCTCTTTTCGGTCAGAAAACTGGCTCCTGTCTTTCCTGGATGTATTCTGTATAACTTCAGCTATCAGTACCTTAATATTTATCCGATTCTTTCATTTGGATATTGGGTTTCCCAACACATTTTGCTCCTCAAATTAATATTTTTCAGATCCTCAAAAGAAAGATTCAGAGACCAAGACTTAGCATCACGTGACAGAGACAGGAATTCAAGAGACAGATCACCTCGTGACAGAGATCGAAAAGATAAGAAGCGGTCCTATGAGAGCGCTAATGGCAGATCAGAAGACAGGAGGAGCTCTGAAGAGCGCGAAGCAGGGGAGATATAATTAGCTGTGTACATATCCTCAATCCTTAAGCTTCCTATGGAGTTACATACTATTGTTTAGTTTACAGCTGTTGGGGGGTAACAGTGAGCAGTTCCAGACTCCGATCCAGATAGGCTAGATGCACAGTATCTAACTTGATCTGAACTGAATTTGTTTCCCTGATGAAGCCTAAAACTACATCCATAGTTTCTGGTGAACCTGTAATGCGATTCTGAAAGTACAGTTTTATATAATAAGATGCCGATATCTTTATTCTTTCTAGTAGGAGTGATAGTGAACGAATTGTGTTGCTTGCCTTGGGATTTTTTGAACATTTGTAAAATGCTGTCTTCCTTTCTAGTCCACAAACAACAGCTTTCAGAACTTTTCTTTTTAATTCTTCTTCCTCTGACTTTTGTATCCCCTAATACCTCCACCCTCTAATTATAAGAGAAAGGGGGAGCAGGGAAGCAATATAACTTCTAAGGTTCTGTTCCCATTTATTACTAGCTGATTACAGAGCATTTATACTGGAAAGTGTGTTAAATACTGAGAGTTTTTGTTTTGTTTTACGGTGCCTATTTAGAGTTGGAAGTTGAACAGCTGTTGCATTACATACTTTGCTTTTTTTATTGAAATTTTGAAATCAAACGTCTTGATTTTTCTGTTCTATTGAATTGCTATGTTCAGGATGTTTTGGAAGGGGGGGTGGGGGCAGGGACTCTTTCATAAGCACTTGTTTTATTTTGTGTGTGTGTGGAGTATAAAGGCTACAACCTTATTGTAAAAATTAATAAAATGAAACAATCACCACCACCATCATTAAACTGTAACTTGTCTAGTAAATTGTCACTAGAACTATTTGCTGTGGGCCATTTCTTCTATTCTGTTATATCTTTTATTAGTGCCTTACTGTGCAAGGCACCAAAGGAAATAAATATATACTTGCCAAGATGAACTGTTGCTCCACCTGGGCCCCGTGCTGAGTGTATTCCAGCTACTTTAGGGCTCTTTGTAACAGTTGCTATGGAGAAGGACCAGACCTGGAAAAGAAATTGGGTTTTTCTGTTGTTTTTTCGTTCAGCAAACTAAAATAAAAACATCGTATACTCAGTGTAATGAGAATAACAGTTTCTCCACTGAAGAGCTATGTACCTACTAGTGATTTTAAACAGTAGTTGGGAGGTATCCCTTGTGATTCTAGGAAATCTAGGAACAAAAATACTTGAGCCAAGTTAGGGTCCGTACAGTCACCTTCTAACAATTGTCTTTGGTCAATATTAATTTGGCAAATTTAATGTGAGGTAAATGGGCCACAGAAAGAAATTCTAAGTCACAAATTTACATCTAAAAGGGACACTCACCAAGTTTACTAAGCTGCGTCATTAACTGAAGGTTTCCTGCCATATTTGGTTGCACACACCCCAGTTTATGCGTAATTCAGTCTAAGACCCATCTCCCCAGTGGCCCATTTCCTTTTACTCTTGGTTTCTGAGAAAAAAAAAAATTTTTTTATCTCCTTTGGATTTAGTACCTTGGAGTGTGGAGTAAGATCAAACAGGTTAAGCTGGTAGATACAAAACGACTGTGACCAAACTCCAAAACATTGTTAAATGTTTTAGAATTGTTTAAGTGAAGTTTACTATCTCTCTGCCTAATTGTATACATGCTTATTAGCTGTTAAGGCAGTTCTAATTTGTAGGGCAGTACCGGCTCCATGACTCAACAGGTCAGCAGTAGTCAGTCAGTGAAGGACATCATCATCAACTCGGGCTGGGCTCCCATGTTAGAGCACTTCAGCTGCCTGGCTCTCTAACAATCTCATCTTAAAAATCCTTTTAGAATAATTCTGTTGCTTAGGTACTTCTAATATTTGGACTTGGGGATAAACAATCTATATTTTAAATCATCACCCTTAGCCAGGCAGCTACTCTGAATTAGAATAACCCTAAAAACACTACATCAAAAACTAATGATGTAATGTATGGTGGTGAACATAATAAAAAAATTATTAAAAAAAAGAATAACCCTAAAATCTCATCTGTAAGAAGGTGGAAGAGGGGTTAGTACTATATCCTCCATACTGAGAAGGATCTTAAGACCAAAGATGATCCAGGGCATTGTACAGCTGTCTTCTATCCATATTTTCTAAGTCATATTTTCTGCAGCTGTCTGGACTTTAATCCCCGTATCTTTCGGAGCAAGGAGCATGATGGTGAGGTCACGGTTATCTATAAAGTGGCACCACCTGGTATGGAAGGAAAGGTGGCAGCAGAGGACCCTAGGCTTGCCTCATCCCACAGACACAACTATCCATTCATCCTAAATACCCCAGAAATCAACCTCAAGACTGGCAGACCAAACTCCACAAGTAAAGCAAAGGTAGGAAGCATAGAGATGGAGTTTGGGGAGAAATGGGTCCTGGCTGCTGCAGAGAGGAGGGAGCCCTGGTTATGGAGAAGGTAGAGAGAGAGAGAGAGGGGAACACATGGGGGAACACAAAAGGAGAACGTTTCCTCATAACCATTGGTCTGGAAAGTGAGAGGAGTTGAATTTGAGTTCTTGCAACCAGTGGGACTCAAAGCCAGAAGTTTTAAGTGTTGGCAGGCTGGGCTCCTGGAGAGTCCAGTCTGGAGGCATTGCAACTGCTCTTGGAAAGAAGGCAGGCAAACAACCTAGGGACAGACAGTGTGGAAACAGTGATCTGAAGAGTGCTGGCGGAACCCACGGGTCGGGGGCAGGTGTGTGGAGATTATTTTATCTTCTTGGAGCGTGACCAAAGGCAGCATTCACAGAGATACCGCTACAAGAACAAAGAAGCTGGCCTGCCCTTGCCCTCCCACATGCCTCAGTATAAACAGAGCCATCTGCAGGAACTGCCTGCCTAACTGGCTCACACCCCTGTGCTTCCGTAGAACTGCCCTCCTCAGTCAAGCCTGCTTTAGTCCCAAGTGTGGTGAGCCCCCTCATCCAGAAGACCAGCACAAACCCCTGCCCATACCCTGTCTCCCGACCAGAGCCTCATTTCCAGTGAAGGTGATGATGACAAGTTTCATCTCACAGGCAGATCAAAGCCCACCTAACTAAAACTTGCCAGCTAAAACATTCAGGCCAGGGACCACACACTGACCATGGCAGGCAAGGAGAGCTTCTGCAGATAAAAGGCCTGAAGGATAGAGGAGCCAGAATACAGCAGAAAACACGCACCACACACAGAGACACTCCCTGAAGCACCAGGCCCTGGGCACTACATGACCTCTTCATAGGGCCATTACTTTAAGGAGCAGGAGACCTAATTGGCTAACCCACAGAAGCAGGCAGAGACTTAGACAAAATGAGACGGCAGGTGAATTTATCCCAAATTAAAGAAGATAAGGCCATGACCAGAGATCTAAGTGAAACAGAAGTAACATGTCTGAGGAGAATTTAAAGCAATGATCCTAAGGATACTTGTGGAGCTTGAGAAAGGAATGGAAGACATCAGTGAGACCATTACTACAGAGATAGGAGTTTAAAAAAAAAATGCAATAAATGATATTAGAAGCATGCATGATGCAATGAACAGCAGGCTGGGAGAAGCAGAGCAACAAATTAATGACTTCAAGTAATAGGAAGTAATCAAGTTAACAAAAGAAAAAAAATTACACAAAACAAGAACAGACTTAGGGAACTCACTGACTCCATCAATGCAGTAACATATCATAGGAGTCCCGGAAGAAGAGAGACAAAGGGGACACAACATTTCTTTGAAGCAGTATCTGAAAACTTCCCTACGCTGGGGAAGGAAACAGACATCCAGATGCAGGAGACAGAGAACACCCATCAACATCAACATAAGCAGGCCAACACCAAGACATAATTAAATTTACAAAATATACTCATAAGAAAACCTTAAAAGCACTAACACAAAATAAGACCGTTACTTATAAGGGAAAACTCACAAGGCTATTGGCAGATTTTTCATCAGAAACTCTCCAAGCCAGAAGGGACTGGCATGATCTATTCAAAGTGCTGAAAGGGAAAAATCTGCAGCCGTCAATACTCTACCCAGCAAAGCTAACATTCAAAATAAGAAAAATAGTTTCCCAAACAAAAATTAAGGTTCATGACCACTAAACCTGCCCTGCAAAAAATATTAAAGGAGAAATAGAAGAGACAAAAAATGACAGTATGGAGGTAGGAAGCAAATGCAGTAACAATGACTTTCTATTTAAAAAAAATCCTTCAGGGGCGCCTGGGTGGCTCAGTTGTTAAGCGTCTGCCTTCGGCTCAGGTCATGATCCCAGGGTGCTGGGATCGAGCCCCGCATCGGGCTCTCTGCTCGACGGGAAGCCTGCTTCTCTGTCTCCCACTCCCCCTGCTTGTGTTCCCTCTCTCACTGTCTCTCTCTCTGTCAAATAAAATCTTTAAAAAAATAAAAATAAAATCCTTCAAGGGACTCGCAAAAGATGCAAAATAGGACATATACCTAAAATGTGAGGAAGATAGGAGTCAAGAATGGGTTCAAATTTAAGCAACCATCAACTTAATACAGATTGCTATATGCAGAAGTTATATGCAAACCTAATGGTAACCACAAATCAATATATAAATATTCAAAGAATAAAAAATTCAAATCGCTCAAGAAAGCCAGCAAACCAAATGATAGGTAAAGGGCTAGTATCCAAAATCTGTAAAGAACTTACCAAACTCAACACCCAAGGAACTAATAATCCAATCAAGAAATGGGCAGAAGACATGAACAGACATTTCTGCAAAGACATACAAATGGCCAACAGACACATGAAAAAGTGTTCAATATCACTTGGCATCAGGGAAATAAAAATCAAAACCACAATGAGATACCACCTCATACTGAAGAGGCTAAAATTAACAAGTCAGGAAATGACAGATATTGGTGAGGATGCAGAGAAAGGGGAACCCTCCTACACTGTTGGTGGGAATGCAAGCTGGTACAGCCACTCTGGAAAACAGTATAGAGGTTCCTCAAAAAGTTGAAAATAGAGGTACCCTACGACCCAGCAATTACACTACTGGGTATTCACCCCAAAGATACAAATGTAGTGATCCAAAAGGGCAGCTGCACCCCAGTGTTTATAGCAGCAATGTCCACAATAGTCGAAGTATGGAAAGAGCCCAGATGTCCATCGACAGGTGAATAAAGAAGATGTGTATATATACAGTGGAATATTATGCAGCCATCAAAAATGAAATCTTAACCATTTGCAACAATGTGGATGGAACTAGAGGGTATTACACTGAGCGAAATAAATCAGAGAAAGACAAGTATATGATCTCACTGATATGTGGAATTTTTTTAAAATGATTTTTTATTGTTATGTTAATCATCATACATTACATCATTAGTTTTTGATTGATATGTGGAATTTGAGAAACAAGACAGGATCATGGGGGAAGAGAGGAAAAAATGAAACAAGAAACCAGAGAGGGAGACAAACCATAAGAGACTTTTTTTTAAAAAAGATTTTATTTCTATTTATTTGAGAGAATGAGATAGAGCATGAGAGAGGGGAGGGTCAGAGGGAGAAGCAGACTCCCCGCTGAGCAGGGAGCCCGATGCGGGACTCGATCCCGGGACTCCAGGATCATGACCTGAGCCGAAAGCAGTTGCTTAACCAACTGAGCCACCCAGGCACCCGATAAGAGACTTTAATCTCAGGAAACAAACAGGGTTGATGGAGTGGTGGTGGGGGGGGATGGGGTGGCTGCGTGATGGACATTGGGGAGGGTATGTCTTGTGAGCGCTGTGTATTGTGTAAGACTGATGAATCACAGACCTGTACCCATGAAACAAATAATATGTTAAGACAAAAATTTGGACATTTAAAAAAAGAAAAAGCAAACCATGCAAAAAAAAGGATCAGAGAAAATCCCCACAAACCACCAGACAGTAAAATGACAATAAATGCTTGTCAATAATTACTTTGAATGTAAATGGACTAAATGCTCTAATCAAAAGACATAGGGTGACAGAGTGGATAAGAAAAACAAGAAGACCCATCTATATGTTGCTTACGAGAGACTCATTTAAGAAAAATTTAAGATTTTGGAGTGCCTGGGTGGCTCAGTCAGTTAAGCGTCTGCCTTCGGCTCAGGTC